AGAAATGAGCTTTGGCAGATTATGCTAGAACATGGTTTTCCGGCGAAACTAATTAGACTGATTCGCGCAACGCTAGATGGATCGAAATCAAGTGTAAGGGTTGCAGATGAGATTTCGACCTCGTTCGTGACCTTAGATGGATTGAAGCAGGGTGATGCACTTTCAAACTTACTGTTCAACATTGCTCTTGAAGGAGCGATTAGGAGAGCTGGTGTGCAGGGAACGGTACCATCATCACACGATCGTACATGCTCCTTGCCTTTGCGGACGACATCGATATCATCGGAATTGACCGTAGAGCAGTGGAAGAGGCGTTTGTGCCTTTTAAGAGGGAGACGGCGAGGATTGGGCTCACGATAAGTTCTACCAAAACGAAGTACATGGTAGCCGGTAGACAGCGTGGGAGCAATAGTGGTGTTGGTAGTGTAGTGTTGTTAGATGGTGAACAATTTGAGGTAGTGGAAGAATTTGTGTATCTTGGAACACTAGTGACATGCGATAATGATGTTACCCGCGAGGTGAAGAGACGTATTGCAGCTGCAAACAGGGCCTTTTACGGATTACGTAGCCAGCTGAAGTCCCGTAGCCTGCAAACGAAAACGAAATTCGCTCTGTATAAGACGCTGATACTTCCGGTAGCCCTCTACGGCCACGAATCGTGGACGTTAAAAGAGTCTGACCGGAGAGCATTTGGTGTCTTCGAGCGTAAGGTGCTGCGAACAATACTCGGCGGTAAACAGGAGAATGGCATCTGGCGGCGTCGCATGAATCACGAGTTGTACCAAGTGTTTAACGGTACGGATATAGTGAAGCTTATAAAACACGGCAGACTACGGTGGGCTGGGCATGTAGTGCGGATGCCGGAAGAACGACAAGCAAATATTATATTCAGCAGAGAACCCGGTAGAGGTCGTCGACTCCGGGGTAGACCTCGGACACGTTGGCTATTTGCAGTTGAGGAGGACATCAGGTCGCTAAACGTTCATGGCGACTGGAAGCGATTGGCTCAGGACCGAGTCCAATGGAGAAGAGTACTTCGTTCGGCGTTGAATCAACCTGGCGATTCGTAGCCCATCAAGTAAGTAAGTATGGAGGAGCAGCAGAAGCGGTGCTAGGGGGACGCCCCTGAAGATGGTAGTGAGAGTAAAAAGGGTTAGGTTAAAGAGGAAAGCAGGTAAAATTTTGCTGAATATAATGTGAGTACCACGAAGATTTATTTATTTACTACATTGTATGTCGTATGTCTTTACCGTTCAGTTACATTTTCGTTTTGCGTTATCTTTCTGTCCGAATTGGACCTAAAACTCGTGAATCATTTATCGAGACACGAATCTGTGGACACCCACGAACTACTTTTAGCCCAGGTGCCTGATTGGGCTAGAACTTCAAGATCAAGCCACCTACAAGTCTGTTTCGTTATTATAGCAACTTGTAATAAAGGCCATCGGAAGCAAGTGGATTTTTAAGAAGAAGTTCGATGATAACGGTAACATAATACGGTACAAAGCTCGTCTAGTTGCCTCTTCGTACCCTCCTGAGTATCGCTGCACGTCGGAACCTTATAGTGCACCACGTTGATGTCGAAACGGCATACCTTTACGGCGAATTATCCGAGACGATAATGATTTCTGCCGTTTGCGAAAGAGCCTGTATGGTTTGAAACAGGCGGGTCGAGTGTGGAATGAGAAAATCAGCGAGGTGTTACAGGAGCTCGGATACGTACCATCCGAATCCGATCCTTGTCTCTACGTGAGAACATGCCACGGAAAGATGTCTTTTGTCTTGCACTATGTAGACGATATGCTGATTGTAACGCAGCGACATTTCAAAATCACATGTCTTGGAGCTGTATCCAACTACCCCGGTATCCAGATTCAGAGAGCGCAAAGTGGCCAGTTCCTGTTGAATCAGAGCGCTTACATCCGGAGGGTAGCGGTTAAGTTTGGACAAGACAAAGCGAAGCCGTCTCACATTCCAATGGACCCCGGATATCCGAATCTACAACAAATGGAGGAGGATCCGATGCCGCAGAACGAGGAGTTCCAAAGCTTAGTAGGTGCTTTGCTATATATTGCGGTGAATACGAGGCCTGACACTGCCATTAGCGCATCCATTCTGGGACGCAAGGTTAGCCGTTCCACCGAAGCTGACTGGACGGAAGCCAAACGCACATTGCGATATCTCTACACCACCGCCGACTTGAGATAGAAGCATATGTAGACGCTGACTGGGCTGGTGATCGTGCGGACCGGAAAAGCAACACTAGATTCGTTTTCCGACTTGGCGGATCAATTTGCTGGGCGGCTAGGAAGCAGCAGTGCGTCACACTTTCTTCAACCGAAGCGGAATATGTCGCCTTATCAGAAGCCAGTCGTGAGTTACTCTGGCTTCTTAAGCTGATGAAGGACGTAGGAGATAGCGTTGCCAAACCCATCACGGTACAGGAGGACAATCAAAACTGTATTGCGATGCTGCGGTCTGAAGGAGGAAATAGCCGAACGGTATGTACCGGTGTCATGGTCGGATTGCCCTACGGAGCTGATGGTTGCTGGCGTACTCACGAAGCCGTTAGCAAGAGTAAAACTAGAGCAGTTGCGTCGAGCTTGAGGAGGAGTGAAGGAGAAAGCTGAAGCAACTAGACTGAAGGGTCCAATCACAGTAGTCTAGATAGTAATTTGATTTCAATAAACTCAGTTTGCATAAGTCACTCGACAAGTACCGTATGCGTGATAATGTTTGCACCATCGTACAAATAAGGTTCCCGTTTCACCTTTGCATACAATGCCTTGGTTTTCTTTGCATGAACGTAACCTATAGCTCATACCGTAGTAGGCTGTGTATAAAAGAAAATGATTTACTTAGCTTGACAGTTGCACCATGACGAAGTGGCAGCGTATTCGTGATTTGTCCCTAGTGCAAAAGTCGCAAAAAGACATTTCAATCGCCGTGGGAGTGTCCCGGTGGACCGTCAAATGGGTTTTAGACCGAGAAAAGATAGGACAACTATCCGCGAAGGTGGCCACAGGTCGTCCGAGGTCAGTTCGGGTTCCGAGGGTTATCGCTACTATCAAAAGGAAGATTCTGGTGAATCCAGTGCGTTCAATAAGGAAAATGGCAAAGGAACACGGGATCAGTGACTGTACGGCACGGAAGATCGTAAAGGAAGATTGCAGATTACCAACCGCATCCGGGAGCAACGAGTCGAACGATGCAAGAAAATCTTGAACTTCCTTAAGCGAAAAAATCCGGTAATCCTGTTCACCGACGAGAGCATGTTTACCGTCGATCCCGTATCAGATTCCAGAACCGACCGGTATGTTAGTTCTCTTCCGGTTAAAGACGTGGCCGACGAGCACAAGAACATGTATCTGACCAAGCATCCTGTTAGCGTTATGGTGTTTGGATTGATGGCTTCCGATGACATCAAAAATGGACCCGGTGTTCATTCCAGAAGGCGACAAGGTCAACACGGAGGTCTACATCGGGATTTTAAGTAAGTGTGTTCTTCCGTGGATCAAAGAACAGTACGGTCCGAAGCCAAATGTTGTATTTCAACAAGATGGTTCTCCGTGCCACACCTCGAACCGCACTCAGAAGTGGTTGCAGGAACATCTTCCGTTCTGGGCGAAGGATATGTCCGCTGGATTACTCAACATGGCGCGTCATGAAGCCCAAGGCCTGTTCTAAACGCCACCCGAGTACAGCAAGCCTCAGACAAACATTGACCCGTACCTGGAGAGAAATGGATCCAGACTACATTATTAGAACCTGCCGTGCATTCCGGAAGCGTGTGGAGGTCGTATTGCAGCAAATGGTAACTCGATCGATGATTAACATAGTTTAAGACTATGAGAAACATCCCCCCTTTGAATAAATAAAAAAAACTCGAAAACGAAATTTTTGTGATTTTTTTTAATTTTGACATTGCTCAATGGTACAAACATTATCATGCATACGGTACAGTTGTCTTTTTTTCCCTCCAAGACAGGGCACTTACGAAAACTTTATTGAAAATTCCGGAACTTCAAGAAGCCCAGGGAACATAAGTTGAAAGGATTTTTAGAACATGGAACTGTATTTCAGGGCAGTACCAAGAACTTCAGGAGAATGCAGAGAACTTTAGGGGTGCTCCGAGCTAATTAAGACATATCTTAGATCCTGTAAGGACCTGTAATAAATTCCAAGGTAATTTCAGGAACTTCGGGCATCCAGAACCTGGTCACCTGATAAAACTACCATTGGTGTTGGCTTGTAAAATCTTAAAGTTTGACACCCATATTAACATGGTTCCGGTTATGCTCTAAATTGGCCACTTCTCCCACTCAGAACCTGCTCCAAGGAAACCGGGACGAGTTGTGGACCTAAAAAACCTACAATTGGCATGGGCTTGCAAAATCTTGAAGTTTGACACCCATATTGATATGGTCCCGTTCATGTCCCAAATTGGCCATTTCCTACGGGCAACTTGTGATGCTAAAAATTTTTCTGGAGACATTGCGCTGAAAAATCATGAGGGTTGAACCCATATTGACATGATTCGAAAGATTAACATTACTGGTCACTTTACCGGAACCGATTTCCAGGAAATGGCTAGATCTCGGTTGTTTCTCAACAGATCTTCAATATGTGGCCAGCATTGAATTTAGAATCGATTCTAGTATCAGGAAAAATGTGAATTCAAATAAATTTTCAAACCAGAAAAAATACAAGCGATGAAAAATAAACATCTCCGGTGCCACACATTTTCAAATGCCTTATTGGGTTGGATCGTTCCAACCGTTCGATTCAAATTATCGGTGGTGTACGGTAAATAGAATATATTAGGCCATTTTTATGAAAAGAAGGGGCATCACACTATCACACACTCACACACACACCCCCTCACGCCAGTTCCCACTATCTGCAGATTCCTCCCAAACTACTGGACGACTACCCTCCGAACCAAACCCAAACCAAATTTCGAATGAGCGGTACACATTAGTGAATAGCAAAACACATACTTGAAGCGTCCTGAGCCTTGACGTTCGGAGTCCTCATGCCGTTCTGGTGCAAAATATCAATCAGCTCGTACCGCAGGGTGCTGATATCCTGCCGAATTTCCATAACATCATCCTCGGTAATGCCAAAGTCGTCCCGTTTGCGCTGTTCGGCCGTCACATATCGCCGGACCAGTAATCTCATTACGTTCTCGTGGCGTCGCTGTGATTTTTCCCGGTTGCGTTTCTATTGAGAAGGGGGACATTTGATTTGGAAACTTTCAATCGAAACAGGGAAAAAACTGCCCGGCGGCACTCAACTCACCATTATGCTCGTCGTTGGCCGTTTCTTCTGGTCGCATTTGCAAAAACCACACATCTTGTACACGAGTTTGATCGAAGGCATGAGATTGAACGGGGGCGAAAGGGTGTCACCGTCTTCGAAGTAACTCATCCATAGCCGGGAGCGGGCAAATTTCCATTCGCTGTCCGAACGTTCCTTGATGCGGGAGGAGGAGTTGAAGAGTTATGCATTCAATATTTCCCCCCATTCCCCTTAGGGATTGTTATCGAATCAAAAACTTACCGAAATGATTTGATAGCTGTTGCTCATCATGGCAATCAGCATGTTCAGCAGCACGATAATGTTGATGACACTGTACGATCCGAACATCAGCAGAGCCCAGAAGCGAGTGAAGCTTTTGATACCGGCCAGCTCGAATGCCATCAGGTCTACCAGGCCGAACGAGGCCCAAAACAGCGATTGGGACGTTTCGAACAGATTGGCGAACCGACGCCAGATGCCGCAGGCTTTTTCATTGTTTTCAAAATCCGGCAGCCCCGACGGAAGATGGTAGCATTTGTTCTTCTCCAGCACGGCGTAGTACCAGAGTAACTGATTGAGACCGCAACCGAACGCAAACAGCACCAACGTGTAGATGAAGAAGAACTTGATAATGTCGATGATCATACGGCCGAGCGAAACCTGCAGCGGCCCCAGATGAGGATTGATCGAGAATATGTGAACCAGCTTGAGAAACGAGAAGATCATCCCAGCAGCGAAGGCTCCTTCCGATAGCAACATCGGATCAAATTGGTCCCACTGCTCACGGGGATACCACGGATTCAGACCTGCTCTGGCATCACGCTGAAGGAAGATCGTTATTGGAATTTGTCAAGATTGGATCAAGATCAATCAACTTACCCAAACCGTGTACCAGGACGTTAACCGCAAACTCATCCACGCTATGTAGAACGAGTTCGAGATGAAATCCACAATGTTCCAGAGATCCGTTACGTATTCGACCAGTCCGTCGTTCCAGAGCGATTTTATCTCGTGCCAGATCAAACTTATGACATAGATTATGACCAAACACTCCGCCATCCCAGGTAGCGAGCCCCGTTCCTTCCGTTTCCATTCCGTCAATATTTCCTGCAGCCAATCCGGTCCGAACCATTCGATTGCCAAGTATTCGACTCGCTGCGAAGCAGCACCCAAAAGCACTGAAACGATGCATGATCATCAAAAACCGCTCTTCACAGTCAATCAACCCTGGTGAACCTTACTCAGAAAGAACGCATAGCTGGCCGAGTGGACGATGAACTTGACGAAGGGTTTCTTCATGAACTGACCCATCAGCGAGTCCGGGGCCACCATGTAGATCATGCTGTACACCGGAAACATGGCCCCGAGCTTGGCCACCTGCACGATCTGCCCGATGGGGGACTTGCGGCGGAACCCGGGTAGACCCTCGTACCAGATCGCTGCCAGCAGCTGTTGGACGTTCGGGTGGGCTACGAACTGGAAACGGATCAGTGTCATTGGGCTAATCCAATTAGGGGATCGGGAGATCTTACCAATTTCTGTTTGAACTTGAGAGCCAGCTTCAATCGATCCAGGGTTTGTCGCTCGCCCGGTTCCCAGTTGTCGATGGCTCCCGGGTCGTAGTTCAGCATGATCTCCAGCTCGTTGGAGGTCCGGGCGTGGTCCAGCAGAGATGTTGCGAACTCCTGCACGTTGAGTCGCATGGTCTGTGGAAGAAGTTTTGATACAGAAATATACTAAAGTAGACCCTAAAATATTCTGAAAGCCCCATGGTACACCCCAGAATGTGAAATTGTTGGGACAACTGATCCTGGACATAAGAATATTTAACGAAATGTTCGATTTAAAACCGATTCGATCCCATAGGCAGTTCCACGACAAACGGCGAATCGGAACACTCGGGCTTCTCCAATTTGAACCCTACAATATGGGTATTTTTGAAACTGGGATGACGTGTAGAGGCCGGAAATTAATGTATGATTCTATTTGGGGCGACTTCTGGTTCTAGCAATACTTTCAAATACGAAATGACCAGATAATTTGTCAAAAATTTAGGCAAACTCTTAGAATTTTAGGAAAACGAGAACTTAAATGAAGTCCGAGAACTCCTGGATCGTTCTGGAATTCTCAAAAAAATTCCGAGAACATTAGGGAAGTTGCAATAATTTCAAGGAAATTACGAAAATTTCACTACAAACTTAAGAATATTTCAAGGTCTAAAAATTTCAAGGAGTTTAAAGCGAGGCTTAAGGGGTGTTTCGAAAACTTCAGTAACATGTCGAAACTGCTGGTTTGCTTTTAACTAAATACAATTTTGTTCTAAGAACTGACATACAGTTCTCGGAATTTCCTTTTCCGTAATTTTTCAGAAGTAGTCGAAGCTCTCTAGAAAACTCCTTTTAAGTTCTTTTAAAAATATGGTCGTAACACTCTATGAAGTTCTCGGAAATTTCCCCTAAAGTCTCCGTAACTTACCTCAAGTTTCCATAACATTTCTCAAATATACGGAACTTCCCTGAAGTTCACGGATCTTTTCTAATTTTTTCGACACTTCCCTGAAGTCCAGGGCATGAAAAGGAATTCTTGAATCTTAGCAGAAAATCTCAGAATAGCCAAGGAGTTCTTTGAACTTCCCTGAAAATCTAGGTATAGTTAAATAGTTCTCGGACCATCCCAGAAGTACTTGAACTTTGCAGAACATGCTAGAAGTTCCAGAGCGTCCCGGAAATTCCGAGAACTTTCAATGGAATCCGAGAACTTTCCGAAAGATCTCAGCACTTCCCATAAATTCAGCTAACTTCCAAGACATTCCGGAAATTCCGAGAAATTACTTTCCCAGAATTACCAAGAGCTGTTTCCACAATTTTCGAGAACTCCTCTTAATTCCTAGAACTTCGCAGAAAATTCGAGAATTTCTAAAACATTCCAAAAATATTGGAGAGCTTTCCAGAAGTTCCAGTAACTACTCAGAAGTTTTGCGAACTTCAAAGGTCCAACAACTTCCCAGAAGTTCTGTGTAATTCTCACAAATTCCGAGTACTACTAGATCTAGATCTTCTCGATCTCGGATAGTTCCAGAAATACCGAGAGTTTCCCAGTAGACCCTCGAACTTCCTAGCAGACACGAGAGCTTCGCAGAAATGTCTAGAACTAAAAAAAAACAAGAATTACCTAGAATCTCACAGAACTACTCAGAAATTCTGAAAACCTCTTATAAGATTCGAGTACTTGCCAGAATACTGACAGCTTTCCAGAACTTTCGAGACCCTCCCATAAGTTCTGAGAATTTCTCAGAAGATCTGAGAACTTCCCGAAAAAATCTGTGCATTTACAACAAATTCCGAGAACTTCCCAAACATTCCGAGAGCTTTCCAGAAGTTCTATAAACTTTCCAGGAGAATCAAGAACTATGCAGAAACTCCGAGAACTTCCCCCAGAAGATGCGAGAACTTCCCAAAAATTTCGAAAATATCCCATCCATTCCGGGAGTTCTCCACAACTTCCGAAAGCTTGCCAGAAATTTTGAGAACCTCTTTGAAGATTTGCGACTTTCCCAGAAGATCCGAGAGCTTAGTAGTTAATCTCAGAATTTTCCAAAAAATCCGAGAACTGCACAGATTTTCCCACACTTTCCCAGAACTTCCGACAGATTCTTACTTGATACGTACGCTTCTATGAACATCCGGAAGCTACCAACAATTTATGTTAACTTCCCAGAAGTTCCTTCCAAAAACTGTTCAGAAGATCCTTCAATCCCAGAAGATTCTGAAAACTGCCAAAAATTTAGAGAATTTACAATTATTCAAAGAACGTCCTAGAAATTTCGGAATCCACCCAAAAGATGCGAGAACATCCCAGAAGTTTCGGGAATCACCCAAAATTTAAGATACTAGGAGATTCCGAGAACTTTCCACATTTTCTTAGATCTTCCCAGAAGATCCAAAAACTTCCCAGAAGTTCCAAGAACTTCCCAGAAGTTCCAAGAACTTCCCAGAAGTTCCAAGAACTTCCCAGAAGTTCCAAGAACTTCCCAGAAGTTCCAAGAACTTCCCAGAAGTTCCAAGAACTTTCCAGAAGTTCCAAGAACTTCCCAGAAGTTCCAAGAACTTCCCAGAAGTTCCAAGAACTTCCCAGAAGTTCCAAGAACTTCCCAGAAGTTCCAAGAACTTCCCAGAAGTTCCAAGAACTTCCCAGAAGTTCCAAGAACTTCCCAGAAGTTCCAAGAACTTCCCAGAAGTTCCAAGAACTTCCCAGAAGATCAAAAAACTTCCCAGAAGTTCCAAGAACTTCCCAGAAGTTCCAAGAACTTCCCAGAAGTTCCAAGAACTTCCCAGAAGTTCCAAGAACTTCCCAGAAGTTCCAAGAACTTCCCAGAAGTTCAAATAACTTCCCAGAAGTTCAAAGAACATCCCAGAAGTTCAAAGAACTTCCCAGAAGTTCAAAGAACTTCCCAGAAGTTCAAAGAACTTCCCAGAAGTTCAAAGAACTTCCCAGAAGTTCAAAGAACTTCCCAGAAGTTCCAAGAACTTCCCAGAAGTTCCAAGAACTTCCCAGAAGTTCCAAGAACTTCCCAGAAGTTCCAAGAACTTCCCAGAAGTTCCAAGAACTTCCCAGAAGTTCCAAGAACTTCCCAGAAGTTCCAAGAACTTCCCAGAAGTTCCAAGAACTTCCCAGAAGTTCCAAGAACTTCCCCAGAAGATGCGAGAACTTCCAAAAAATTTCCAAACCTTCCTATTAGTTCCGAGTACTTTCCAGAATTTCCGAAATTTTGCCAGAAGTTCCGAGCACTTCTTAGAAGATTTTCGAATTTCGCAGAAGATCCTAAAACTTAAAAGAAATTCTAAGGACTTCTCAAAAAATCCTAGTACTGCCCAGAATTTCCAACAGAGTCTTCCAAGATGTGTATGCTTCTAAGAACATCCGAGAACTACCCATAATTTGTGTGAAGTTCCTTCCAAGAACTGTTCAGAAGATCCTTGGATATCCCAGAAATTCCAGAAAATTTCCAAAGAATCCGAGAACTTCCCAGAAGATCGGTGAATTTCACAGAAATACCAAGAACTTTTTAAAATTTCAGAGAACTTAGAAGAAATTCTAAGAACTTCGAAGTAGACCTGCATTTTTTCTAGAAATCCCAAGAGCTTGTCAGAAGTGCAAAGAACTTTACAACAATCCAAAGAATGACTCTGAAATTTCAAAATCTTACCAGAAGATGCGAGAACTTCCCTTAAATTTCAGGAATTTCCCAGATTGTATGATACTAGGAAATTCCGAGAACTTTCAACATTTTCCTAGATCTTCCTAGAAGATACAAGAACTTCCCAGAAGTTCCGAGAAATTCCCAGGGTTTCCGAGAACTTCCCCAGCAGATGCGAAAACTGCCCGAAAATTTCCAAACCTTCCTATCAGTACCGAGAGCTTTCTAAAATTTGTGAAAGCTTGTCGGAAATTCCAAGAACCTCTTAGAAGATTTACGAATTTCCCAGAAGATCCAAGAACTTACTAGAAATTCTGAGGACCTCTCATAAATTTCGAGAGCAGCCCAGAATTTCCAACGGGTTTCCAGCATTTCTGAGATGTTCATATATTTTGCAGAAATTCTAAGAACTTCGTAGAAGATCTGCAATTTTTCTAGAAATCCCAAGCACTTGGCAGAAGTTCCAAGAACTTTCCAATAATTTAAGGAACGTCCCAGCAATTTTGCAATCTTCTCAGAATATGCGAGAATATTCCAGAAGTTTTGAGAATTACACAAAATGTTAGATAATAGGAAGTTCCCAGAACTTCTTAAATATTCATACAAATTTCCACATTTTCCTTGATCTTCCCAGAATTTCCAAAAACTTCCCAGAATCCCGAGAGCTTCACAAAAATTCCAAGAATTTTCCCAGAAGATGCGATAACATTCCAAAAATTTCGAAAACTTCCTATCAGTTCCGAAAGCTTTCAAGATTTTCCGAAAGCTTGCCAGAAATTCTGGAAATCATATTGAAGATTTGCTAATTTCCTAGAAGATCCGAGAACTTACTAGATATTCTGAAGACTTCCTAACAATTCCGAGAACTGCCAAGAATTTCCGACAGCTTCCAGAGAAATTCAGGAATCTCAGAAGTTCAGAGAATTTTGTAGAAATACTCAGAACGTCGCAGAAGATCTGCAGTTTTTCTAGAAATCCCAAGCATATGTCAGAAGCTCGAAGAACTTTACAATTGTTTATAAAACGTCCCAGGAATTTCAAAATCTTCCCAGAAGATGCGAGAACATCCCAGAAGATGCGAGAACATCCCAGAAGTTTCAGGAATTACGCAGAATGTAAGATACTTGTTCCAAGAACTATCCAAATATTCCGAGTACTTTCCAGATTTTCCTTGATCAAAGATTCCAAGAACTTTCCAGAGGTTCCAAGATTGTCACAGAAATTGTGAGGACAATCCACAAGTTTCGAGTACCTTATAAGATATGCGATTTTCCCAGAAGATCCCAGAACTTACTAGAAAATCTGAGAACTTCCCAAAAAAAATTAAAACTGTCCAGAATTTCCGACAACTTTCCAGAATTTCCTTCAGATTCTGACAAGATACGTGCCCTTCTAAAAAGATCTGAGAACTACCCACAATTTCTGTGAGCTGCTCAGAAGTTTCTTCCAAGAAATGTTCAGAAGATCCTTGAATTTCCCAAAAATTCCGTGAACTTTCCAAAAAATCTG